ACCCAAAGTGTAAGAGAGATGAGATGCTGAGCTGGATAGCTTTTCAAACACATTTCTATTTATTTATAAGTATGTGGCCGACAAAGGATTTCTTGGGATAGCTCTTGAAAACTTAAAGGGGCTTTACCCAGCTTTATACTCAGTATTTGTTTCCTATTTAAAATATCCATTTCTGAATTTAATGAACAACACCGAAAGCCTATTATCTTTTTCATTTAGTATTTAACAACGTCACAACGTCTCTGCTTTGGGAAAAGCGAAAAACTTGTTGCTCGGGGGAGCCTTTTAAGTGAAAACTTTCAGGCAAGCTGGCAACATTCAAATCGAATCGATATCCCTACACCCTCCTCGCACATATTAATTAAAGTTTGTTAATGCATTGCCATGGCGAGCGAGTAAAAGTTACAACGAAAATTGAAAACTTTTCTCGCAATTGAAAGTTGTTTAAACATTCATAAGCTTTCCATTTGCCCCACCCCGCTGGGGAGAATGGGTTCTGGGCCCCAGTGCGGTGGCAACTCGTATAAAAGTAACTAAACTAAACGCAACTGGAGCTAAATGGCCCTGTTGCGAGACGGTCAGTCGGCACTTAGCTAGTGCCAGGCCAATTATGAGCCAATTCAAGTCAAAGGGCGAAAATGCGAGGAGAATGCCTGAATGGATGGCAGCTGGCGATCAATAAAGCCTTCATCTTCGTGCTCAGTCAGTTAATGTGCTCAATTGAGTGCCGAAAATTTCGTAACCGAAAGCGTTAAATGCCAGCCAGCCAGGCAGCCAACAATGCAGAAGCATTCTGGCCAACTTAACGCCAGGACCTGTTCGCATTGTTGCACTGGATGCGGTGCGCTTTGGTCCTTTAATTACTCGAGACGCTCCGGCTCTGGCTCCTTTGTGTATTTGGACTCCGGACCAACGTGGCAGCAATTAAAGTAAGTGGTGCCATTTTCCTTTCACGCTGCCGTGGCCATTTCTTTTGGCCGAGAAGTGCTCGTGGTTTTTCCAGCCGGGTCGCCCCTCCCCGCAAGCATTAATTTCCGCTGACAAACACCCTCAGCATAGTTTCCACTTTGGTGAGATTTTTCATAATTGCCTTCTGCTCAAAGGCCAAGTTTTTCATATTTATTTTGCAGCTTCTTTAGCATAATTTTGTAAGATCACAAGGACTTGTATAATTATCACAACGACTTAGATTAATTATTTTTTTGTTTAATTAAATATTTTTAAAGTAAAGAAAAAGGCCATTTTTTAAAGTATTTACTTTAAAGAGCTTTTCTCGAAAGCCTTTTATTGCCGCTTTCTTTAAGTACGATTACATAGCTTCGAGCAAAGAGCAAATCTGAATTCGTTGTGAGCTTTTTCCGGCATATTTTGTGTGTCAAGGGCCGGCAGGGCTTGTGATTAATGAGCTCAACCTATTTTGCAGCGCTGAAATAGTGTCAAAATTTGTGGGCCAAAAGCTAAGTAAAGCCAGGGATTCGTTTGCGGAACACTCATGATAATCTTGGGGTAAACGAAAATTAAACAATAAACTGCGGCAGAATGATAACTGAAATGCAGAGGGTCTTTGTATAAAATACAAAGTTAATTGGTTCAAAGCCAGGATTTCCTAAGACTTGATTGCTCGCATCCTTGTGAATTTAAATAACTTTCAAGCCTCAACTTTTCGGGCACTCACTTAATCCAATTAGACACACTTTATTGGCATTTCCACTGTAGGTATTTATTTCTTATCGAGTTTGAAAAGAAAATATTCAAAGTAAAAGCCAAGTCTGTAATTACTCACAGCAAGGCAAACATCCATAGGGACAAATACGAGTAATTTGCTAGAATAATGTTGTGTAATTTTTGAGTTCTGTTGGAAAATTGCCCACCCCCATGTGGCTGTGCGGTGTGAAAATGCCAACACGGCAAAACAAATTCCGATTTGAGGACCGAGCAACAACAGTGGTAACTGCCAGGGAAAACAATGGAAATGGGAAAATAAATTGAAATGAAATGATTTCTCTGTGGCTTCGCCTTCGGAGCTGGTCCTCGGTCCCTTGGCGGCTTTCAACCGGTCCTTTGGTCCTTTAGTTCCCTACTCCATGTCCTTTGCCTGCGTCTCCGTTTGGCATTTTGATCTTTAAAAATTGCTTTGAACTTTTGGCATAAAAAATCGTAGCCAGATAGCTGATGCGAGGAGCAGAAGCCCCGAGATAAACTTGTATGTACGTTCAGGGCTGATGGGCAAAGTTCCTTGGCTCTGGTGGGGTTTTCTGGGTCGTAAAGGGATGGGGAGGGGATAGTGGTCCAAGTCGAAAAGTTTGCCATATACCAAATGTGTAAACTGTCGAGGCAGCAGCTGCTGTTGTGTGCGTGTGTGTCTTGGCCATAAATTCAATTTCCAAAACGGGGACAAAGCAAAGTCTCGTGCTGCATGTGTGTGCGAGGTGACTTGATGTCGCGTTTTTTGTCACTTGCAACTGCAACAAAACTAATAATCGAAGAAATTTCGTTACGTCTACGATGTCAGCGCACACCTGGCGTATGAGCAATTTTCAGTGTAGTCCTTATTGATTTTCGTTTGGGGGCGGCTTCTATATTTAGCCGCTCGTTTGTAGGAGATTAGGCGCTTGACTCTGGTCAAAATGAATTAATTAAGCATATTATACACGTCCACTCCATATTTGGGCCCTCAGTTTTGCTGATAAAATGGTTAAATTTAATCAGCGCAGAGTTTTGCAGAATTATTAAATTAAATTATTGCGGCTGCAGCCTGGACTGAGACAAGTGGCCAATGGGAAGCAGCAAATGGCAAGTGGCAAGGGGCCCGGCTAAGTGGCACAAAAGATGGCAAAATTGCTGGCTGGCACGCATTTGAACTTGAGAAATGGCCGACATCGGACTCTTCTTTTCTCAACGGGTGTCCTTTCTTGGCGGTTGCTCTTCTGGCTCCGTGGCTCCTTTGCTCCTTTTATTACTTGCAAAATATCATGGCCATAATTTCGTTTGACAAGCAAATGTCTCAATGCTCCCGGGAGGGGCACTTGCCCGGCACGGCACACTTGAGTCGATAGTTTTTCCCTAGCTCTTTTCTGCCCCCAGCATCCATTTATACTTCTCGTTTCCAGCACGAACGGAGAAAACAATAAATATCAACAGGAGTCCAAGGAAAGCAGCTTTAAATATACATGTACATTATCAACCAGCAACTGACCAAATACACCTAAAAACTAACCAATAACTAATAATAAAACGAATACCTAATCCAACTGAGCGGACCAAAACGCATCTAAGCTGCTAAAATCAATGTGAGACTTGTGCTTGTAAACAAAACGGAGACCAAACAGTTTCGGTTATACGGATCTAATCTAGGAACACTATAGTTAGCCTAACTTTTAAGTGTACATATGACCAGAATGGAATAAAAACTTGGTAAAAGCTTTAAACTAGTCATCTAAGAACGGAGAGGGCAAAACCAACTCGAATTTTGCTGTCAATTCTCGTGTGTAAAGTGTAACTGAACGTGTAAACCGTAGACTGTGCTATAAACATATTCAACCTATTTATAAACGTAAACTAACCGTATACAATATAACGTACTTTTGCCGAAAAAGCATTTAGACGGGGCAAAAAACAAAGACCGCTTTCAGGTAACTAATAACTACATAGGCCAGGCCGCAACACACTAACAATATTTTCTGGGAGCTTTCCTTGATGTGCCGTAGTAGATCTGTCCCTCAGTGTTTCCCATGCATTTATGTGTCTGTGTCTGTGTCCCTGCCAGTGTGTCCGTGAGTTCCTAGCACGATATAGCCATCCTGCGAGAGTCCTTCTGCAAGATGAGCCACGCCGTCTTAGACCTGACCCAGCCCAGTGGCAGCGACAACGCCACCAACAATGATAGCAATAATAACAGCCACAACTGCAGCCGTTTAGCTAGCATTCGTGGCTGCAAGTTGGCTAATTGGTTTCCACAAGTAAGTTTTGTTTATCCTTTGATTTCTCGCTCACCTGACCGTCCACTCGGTTCTCCCCTCTCACTGCTATTTGCTCGACAATTTTCACACCGCACCTGCAGATGGCTTTCACTCATGGCAAATCAAATTAAAATGTTCACTCTTTGGCAACATGCACACAATGACAGGGAAGCAATACACCTGCAAAAAGCAAGGAGCTGAGTCCATTGTTGTCGCCGGATGTTTGAGGAAAATACCCTAGAATGAGTTAAAAGGTTCCGGTAGCGAAACAAAGGACACACGAAGTATAAACATTGTAAATTAAATAGCAGGAAGCTGACTAAAAACCACATTCAAATTTTAATTAAATGCAATATTTGCCATAACAACTTTAAATTTGTATAAGAGTTTTAAAAAGTTGTTGGTAAGTTTAATTTGGTTAGCTGCAGGCAAATAAATATTTTAATTTTAATAAAAGTTGAAAATTCGGCTTCTAGAACTCCCTTAAAATAACAAAAAGTTTAATTATTACATACACTCCCGAAAAAACCCAGAAAATACAATTTTCCAAATTGTGTTTCACCTATTGCTCCTTTAAGAAATTAATAAAATTAGCAATTATAGTAAACTTAATAATTTAAAATTTATTTATTTATGTTTGTATATGATTAACTTTTTATCTGATATTTTCTACCTTGATTCAAATATTTTCAAATTAATTCATGCAATTAAATGTGTTTTATAATAAATTTTTATTTAAAATAAATTTATAAGTAAAATTATTTAAGCATGGACTATGCACAGGGTGGTGTTATATTCGAATTCATTTCATCATTTCTACTTTTTAGTAAACCATTGTGCAAGCTTAGGCAATCCTTCCTCGTCATCATCATCATCAAACCAATCGTCATTGTGCACAGCTCCTTGGTTTGTGGCTATGGATTTGGATTTGGCTGCATTGTCGTGAATTTTTCCATTATATATTTACTGAATACACATATGTGTAAATGTTTGCATTGGTTCAAGTTGTGCATGTGCCTAGGTTTTTGCTTTGTGCTCGGCGTCCAGACAAACTCTTGTGCCTCGACTAATAAACCCTCAGAAAAGGGGGATTTGCTTTGAAAGACGTTCTTTCGACGGTCTACACCTTCAGTTTGTTGTAGTCGCCTTGCAGCCAGCAGATTGTGTACAGCGTCGACTTGGCAATAAGCGCCAGAGTCAGCTTTCGGTCGAAAGTAAACACGTTGAGAAAGACGACCCGCTTGGGATACAGGGCCAGCTTCAAGGTGAACATGGAGAGCTGAAACCGGAGTTCAAAAAGGATGTTTAGAATAGTCTAAAAAGAATGAGCTAACTTGACTGGACAAACATTTTAAATTTAATTTCTAAGAATGCAAAAAACGTCATAGTAAAAACGCTCAATAATACATCAACAACTTTGGGATTATTTATTAGCCGATCCTTGTATAGCTTTCAGCTATTGCAGTTACTCACCAATCGATCCATCCGATTTGTCTCGCGTAAAATACGCCGTGAGTCAGCTCTAAATCGGTAAAACAATTCGGCAATGTCCGTACCAACGAAAAGATTAATGGCGTCCAAAATGTAACTGAGAAATACAAACACTCTCATCGCCAGGCTCAAGTCGATAGACTTCGGGGCAGCCACCATCTGGTATATCTCGTAGCCGTAGGTTATTTGGAACCAGCTTTTGCAGGCCAGAACGCAAACGGAAATGTATCCGAATTCGTGGTTCAATTGGTCACACAGCACCAGAACCTTTGAATAGAGTCTGAAGCAGTGCTGCATTTTTTTCAAGCGATTCCTCTGTCAAGATCTGGTTAAGATCAGTATCATCTTGTCATTTATCAGCTTTTGAATTCGGCAAATTTGCCAGAGAAAACAGTAGAGCATAAGTACAGCTGCCAAAAGCATGTTGTAGACAAGCCAATAAGATCCCAGGTTCATATAAAACTGAGAGGGCAGCAGTCTCTTCAGATAAATGGGGTAAAATAGGTGAATCCGCAGTAGGGTTATCGAAACAAACACTATTTTCATGCAAAATCGGTACTTCAAAAGTGAACCGCTTGGCCTTCCACAAAAATACTTCTGCTCCATTTTGACTAGACCATCGGCCAGTTTCCGAATGCCTTGAGTTCTTTGCCAACAGAACTGCATTGAGAAGGCCACAGTTCCACCAATCGTAAGGACAGTCACACATAATCGCATATTACCGGCGGTGTTATAAAACATCCACGTCAGGGCCAAAACACAGAGTGCGTGGTGGACAAGGCAGTATATCTTCAGCTCCCAGGTGCCCTTAAAGCCATTCTTCCTTGTGTTAAAATAGTAGGTATTTAGTCCGTTTATAGCCGTAAATTTCGTTAGCAAACTATACAAGTGCGTTGGACCCATCTTGGGAACTGGCTGACTGCATTTGTCCCCTGGCCCATTTTATAGGCTTCTAGGTCAGGCCAATTAGGCCTGTATTTATAGTTTTGCCATCCATCACATGGGGACCGATAAATGGGTCATTAGAGAGTCGTTAGTCGGCGTTGAAAAATTGTTCTCACATTATCGGTCATTTTACAGGACACGGGTAATCAATTACTGGACATCAAAGTCATGGCTTATTCAAAAACCATTGTTCGCTTAAATGAAAAGTGACTTGCTTTGGAGTGTACACTTGATTTAAGTGACAGAAAAATACTTGTAACTTCAGTTGAAATGAAATTGCCTTCCGTAAAGGCATTCACAAGATGAAAAGCCAGCGACAGATATGATTTTCAATATGGATAAATCAAATACGGAATGGCAGCGGGGTCGCGAAAGCCCAACAACGCCACTGACAAAGCCCTTTTGTGTGCCAAACTATAATAAAAGTATGGATATATAAAGGTCCTCGGGGGCACTCCTCGGATGCTTCGCCTCCACGAGCTGCTCCTGGTGGGGCAATCAATACTGCTTTTTAATGAAGAAATAAAAGCGGAATGTCCACTTGTGTTGTTCGGACAGTGTCGTAAAAATTGTCTACATTTTTATTACGTATCTTCTGGTGGGGCAAGTCAGGCCAAGCCGAGGACCGTGAAAAGATTGTATCCTGTCTGCCATCCGTCTGTGGGTCCTGGTTCTTCCTTGGGTGTTCCTTACCCACACACATATATCCATATCTCCCACTCAGCAGGCTAATGGTCTGCAGGACTACAGGCACGCACCAGCGCCTAAACGCGTGCTGAGCTGGAAAATATTCTCTTTTGTGGTTGGGAAAACCACCAAAGCCACCACCGTTCCAAATTTCACCAGCGACAAGTGTTTATTTTGGCATTTCGCTGGGGCTTTTTCTTTTTTCCTTTTTTTGTTGCCTGGTCAGCGTTTGACAACGCACTCAACCCGATAGAAGAGCGTGGGCCACCTCAATCCCTCGGCAGGGGCGAGTCCTTTGTTGGCCTAATGATTATTGCTTTCCCTTCGCTTTTTTCGATTCCTGCCTCGGCATTGTTCGCCCTTGCGAAAATATCGCATATTGTTCGCCTTTGCCGTTCGCTTTTTTTTACGACGATTTTCAATGGACGTGAAAATACTCTTTGGGGGAGAAAACCCGAAGCCTGTCCTCGGCTTGATAGGGATTTTATGTTATTTAAATGATTTGCTAATTTGGAAGAGCTTATGTGTTCCGCACTAAACCGCTTCATAAATAATCCTAATTAGGAGGGCCTAAAGCTCTTCGTATGTAATGTAAACGTTGTGAGCGAGAAGGTGATACAACTTATGTATGCTACGTTATGATGGTCACAGTCAGATTAAAATATATTTTAGACATCTCTTATTTCTAGTTTCAGCAGTTATGTAGACTCTCAACACCCCTAATTAGCATAGCTCTTTGACGGTAAACCGCCTTGTTCTTCGTGTTCTTTTGGGTCTTCTGGTTTCTCTGGTCGAAGGTAAATCTCCTCTTGCTGTTGTCTCATACTGCACGGTTGTCGTTTTGATTTCAGCCTCTGTTGTCCCGCAAGTTGTTAGGGGTTTTGGTTTCGGTTGTGGCATAGGTTTGGGCTTGGCTTTTGTAGTGAACTGTTTGAGGCAATTTTCCTGGCATTCCTTTCTTGAGTAACCGTCCATGCAGTGCAGTGCCTCCTTGCATTTACCGTCTCTTAGGACCCAGAGTGAACGCAATGGCTCGCACATTACTCGTCTTCTTATAACCACCACACCCAGAGTACAGTAGTTTACTCCTGAAATTAGGAGAGCTTTATGACTTTGGTTCGGCAAACTGTATCCCTTACCTGGACGTTTTATTAGAGGCTGCACAATAGCTAGAAAACTTAAAAGCAAAATAACCACTGCAATGTTCCCCATAGTAACGTTGACTGGCTGAATACAACTATATTTGCTTTTATTATAACAATGAAATTGCAATTGGCGAAGCTTTTAAATGACATGTTATCTAAAGTGGAACAAATGTTGTTATTAAAAACTTCAATATAAAAGGCGATTTGGCATGGGAAACACTAAGTTTTTGTTATTCCTGCGTTTTAGGCAGCTGAAGTTCCATGGTTCTTTCCAAAGGCCAAGGGTTTATTAATTGTTGGATTTTATTTTAATTTGCAGTGCCATGTGGATGAGTAAATGGGCAGTGTGAAACGCCATTAATTCTAATAGGGGTATTCTCAAACAAAAACCACTGATTATGAACAGCCATTAATGAAAGGGAACTTGCTTTCGCTTTTCTTTTTTTACTTTGCCCTCTCCTTATGAAATTTGCTTTAAAGCTTCGTCATTCTGGGCTATAATAAATGTTTAGGATTACGTGTGCAGCTGGTCTGGCAGTGAAATATTTGAATACTTTAGTTGATTCTTTAAAGAGAATATATAATTGGGTACAAATAGCCTACAGTTTTGGGACTAATATAGTAGGGATATTTTGTTACAAAATTTACCAATTTTTATAATATTATTTTCATTATTTTAATATTAAGTTGATTTAATTTAGCTTAACTTTGAACTATTGGTTTTAATATTAATGCTGAATTATTCAGGATTCGTTCCAGAATCAGTAAACAAAATTAAATTATACTTTCCCAATCTAAAATACACACTTTTAAAATGAGCCAGAGCAAACGGTCTAGCAGGACTAGCTAATGAGTGCTCCTTTTTATTCCACTTCATCGCAACCTCCATCGCCATCTTATTTTCCGTTGGCTTTTATAATTAAGTTTCGGGTACGCAATCATTTAGAGTGTTTGGAGTATTGGGGCAGACGACGCGACAGTGTCTTCAGACCAAAACAAATTTATGCAAATTTCGATTAATTTATTTTTGACACAAGCGGCAGCTCCCATCCTGCCAGGCTCATTAAGGAGCGAATTCGCTAGCTAATTGAACGGAAATCTCTAGCTGATGACAAGAGAATCGGTTGATTCGTCGTGAAAATATTTGCAAGCCGGCTGATTGCAGCCGATCAATCAATCAATTTGCCATCCGAATTTGCCTTTGGCCTCGGGCATAAGAAGTATCAAAATAATGGGAGCTGCAGCTTTAAACTCTCTTGGAAATCGGGGCTTACCCACAGAACTTCCGCCATTTCCTGCCGTTTCCACCAACATTGTACGGCGTTTTCAAATGGACATTCTCGCCCAGAATGCGGTTCATATTTCAATTTCCGGAATGGAAGGAGCATTTCAGCTTTTTAGCTTTCAGTCCTTCGTTTGCGGACAGTTGCCAGTTTGTTGCTGCCTTCGGTCAGTTGCAAAGTTTTCTACATTTTTTGTTCAAAAATTCCATTTCACTTGAGATTTGATTGATACCACGGAAGTTGGTTTGCGCCCTCGAGCGTATGGCTCTCTATTTGATTTAGTTTTGCCATTAGTTTGCTTTTGTAATCTCGGGATTGCTTGGATTAAATGTGGGTTTTTTCCTTAAGCTGTTGGACTAAAATGCTGTGGCGTGAAACTTAATTATTAATTGTTTCTGTTGTTTGTTTAGCCATCTTGGGGCTTTTTTTGATTTTGTCATTTTTATGATTATTCTTTTTATTCTTTCCCAAGGCTATCGCAAATAGATGGTCCACTAAAAAGTTGAAAGTTTCGATAGAAAAACCAATTTATTAAGCCCATTGGGTGGTATTTTTTAACTAACCATAAATAATTTACCATGAATGTGTTTATTTATGCTTTTGTCTGTCGTTTGTGTCCTTTATAAGTACAGAAAGCTCCCTAAAATTCACACACATCCACAAAACACATTAGTAAAAACAATCCATAAATTTTATCTGTAAATTCACTGTGCTTTTACCATATGCTTTATAATAACTCTTGGCTTGGATGACAATGAAAACTGAATTCAACCAACAACCAATATGAAATGTTCACCTAAATTATTAAAACTGTTTGTGAAAAAAATAATCAAACAATTAAAACTCCCTCAACAACAATAATCAAAAAACTGTGCACAATAACGTGGCGAAATTCAACGGAAAATCAACCCGCTAAAAACAAAACAAACATTGGAACTGCAATTGAAATTATTTCTGCAATCAACTCGTCATAACATCCGCCACCCACCCACCAAACCCAACAACACCCACCGCAGAATGTCAATGTTCTTCTTTCGATTGCATAACCTGCAGCGCGCCGAGGAGAATAAGCGCAAGAAGCGCGTGGAGCAGCAGCGCCAGCAGCAACGCCAGCGGAGGGGGGCCAAGGTCTTCAAGTGTGTCAGCGACTCCACCGGCCACCTGACCCTGGCCCCCTCGCGCCTCTTCGAGCGCACGCCCATGAGTCCGTCGGACAGTCTGGACGAGATCGCGCTGCAGATCCCCAGGTGAGTGGGCAGGAGGACACCCGAATTTGCATTTTATTATTTTTGCAGTCAGTCAAAAATGATGATTTTAATTTAAGAACAGTTTTTGGGCATTCAACGACTCACTTAAGGTATTAAACCCGTATTGTTTAAAGCCACCGATTTATACTACTTGGCTTCTTATTCCGAAAAATATTTGTTTAAACCAAGTATGGTTTTTATGATAACGGGATATGGGCAGCTCCATATTTTCGCTCGGCACATTTGCACACTTCTAATAACATAATATTAAGAAAAAGCACTCTAAACAATACTTAATGAAGTAAATATGTGTGGAAGAATCTATTGCAGGTTTTTTACATGTTACACAAGTATTTCAAAAAGGAGAACAATGGGGGTTTTATGGCTAACCTCACCTTTTCGGTTTTGTCTGCTGCTGAGTGACATCGAAGCACCTTTCCAAACTTGGGGACTCTTTCGCTTGTGTGGTTTGGCTACGGTGCAAATAAGCCAAATACGATTTTGCAAGTGACTTTGTAAAAATGTGGTCATGTCAAGAAAGTCTTAAAAACTGCACTTCATGAGAAATCGTACTCTGTAGAGCCACTTATGATATTTATTTATTTATTTCCAAATTGAAATACAGAATTTAAGATGGGTCTTTGCAATTGAATCTAAAAGAATTTATATTCAAATGGCCCAAAGCAGGCTGTGTCATTCTTCATAATCTATCCCAATCTATCAGTACGTTTCTATAGTTAAAAATTTTAAGTCTTCAAAATTGTTCTATATTTTTTTTATTTTACCGGATTAGCTTGATTTTTATTCCCTAAAATGCGGATGCTTTGCGACAGACTTTCCGCCCTGACCGCCGGGGCCATGGTCGGTGTTTGGTACGCAAAGAATTTCCCGTGCGAAAAGTCCCAGGGTGGCGGAGACCACGGCAAGGCCAAGGACAAAAGCAAGGACAAGGGCAAGGAGAAAGGCAAGGACTAGGGAAAAGGGATAGCTAATCTGGGTGGAACTAGTGCTCCGCTTACCCGAACCGACACGATACGTATGTGCAAGTCCTCTTATCCACATTTTTCTTCTAGTTACCCGTAAACATTCTAGTAGGCAGAGGCAAAATTCGAATGTCGACGACGCTATCGGCATGAAAAGAGAAAGTTTAACCAAATGACCCCTGACTGGATACGGGAAAACTCTCTGATAATGCTGCCGGAAAATTATTTTTGCTTCTTATGATTCAGAACTTTACTACGATTCCACGCAGCTGACTTACTGTACTTAGATGCTATTAACATTTTTGGCATTTTAATAAAGAGGCAAAAATGCGTACTATATAAAAAAACTCTCCGATTTTCGCTCTTCAATTTGGCTTATAAATAAGAGACCAAAAAATAACCATTTCAAGTGCAGAAGTCGTATGTTTTTCTGTATTCGTGCTCACTCCTGTTGTTCCCCCTCCAACTGGTTTACATTTCGCCAAATCATGTCCTTTGTGGCACGTGGAGCCTTTGTTGTGCGGCATGCGATTCAAATACACGCGAATTTCAATAAGAGTTGCCAACGGAGGTGGTAAAGTGGTACTTTAATTTCGCATTTTCACAGCCTAGGGACACTCGTAATCCCAGCTAATTGAATTGGCCTTTGTAATCTTTCGGTTAATTAAGTGTGCGCCAAACCCAATAATTTAAATTATACAGAAAGTTCTTCGAAGCAGGCGTTGAGATTTGGGTTAATGTGCTTTGGAATTCCGGGCTGGAATTTATCAGTTATCCGTTTTGGCCGCAGCAGTATACTTTCATAAATCTGAAAAATTTCAAAATTGTGTAAATTTTAAAATCGTTAGTTGGTTTTAGGATATATTTTCTTAACATACACTTACACCATGCATTTGATGTGCGAGCGATTGTCTTCGATATTTGCGGGCGTCTTGGTGGGTTTGTGGTACGGCAAGACCTTCCCCGAGGACACCAAGGCCAAGCCAAAAGAAGAAAAGAAGAAGTAGGTGAAGTCCCAAGAACCGTAGTTTCCCTCCCTGCATACGCAAAACCCTGCAGAATTCAACTCAAGATCTTTAGGTGGGTAATAACCAATAAATGATAGGCGTTAATTGCCATTAAGTTATTCCATCGATCTAGTAGTCGAGCCGGAAACTTCAAGCCAGTTCGACGACCTGTCAACCCGGTCGCCCTGACACAGCTCAGTATTTATTCGGCAGCTCAACTAGTATATCAGACTTTCGACGCGCACAAAATTTTTACCGTGTTTGGTTTTCATCCAACATCCGCACCAGCAATCAAAAGTTTCGGTCCAAATTGTGGCAAATCCTGTCGAGCTTTCGGAGCCATGCCGTGTTGTAAGCGTACCGAGGTCCGGAGGGTATGCCGGCCGATGCCGTCGCTCCTTGCCAGGCTCAACTGTACGCCGTGCAACCGGGTCCTGTTCTTTGTGATCGGGGTTGGACTGGGCGTGCTCTTCGTGCGTAACAAGGACGACAAGGGCAACAAGAAGAAGAAGGACGATGGCAAGGGCAAGAAGTGATCCAAGAGTTGCCCATCGACCCCAATCCTGGCAGCAGTGAATCGACATCGAGCCACCTCGAACCATCTCCATGAAGTACTGAAGAATCTTACAGTCGGGCGTTGACCAGCGAAGACAAAATGCCATTCGATAAGTTTACCCGCCGAAGAATTAATGAGTTGGACATTTCTCAGTCGATAAATTTATCAATAGAGCAATTTGTCAATCGAACAACTACCTACCATATCTTATACGGATTTCTTCGGTTGATCTATTCTCTATTCCTCTGTTAAAATAAACTATAAATTTGGTGCTGTACAAGACATTTCCAACGGATGTTCCACCGTCTAGTATTATCAATTTGGTTTTATTAGAGTTTTTAATGGGATATTTTCGAACTTTCAATAGCTTAAATAGTTTGGCGTCAATACTTATATTTGTAAGACAAATCAGCGGAGAGATAAATTAAAAATGGTTTACTCGTTTAGTGCGTTAAATTGTTTTTGTAATTAAAATAACTAAATTTTTATGGGGAAAACATGGATGTGAAAATCGATAGATCGATGTTTAATAATATTTTGCCATTGGCTGCGTTCAGCTGAACAACATGATCACTGATGGATCAGTAATCACTAATCAAGTTTGTTCTGCTGAACGCTCATGATATCTTTCGACGACGTAAAAGTAAAATATATAACAAATATTGCGCGCGCAATTTGAAAATATATATTTTTCCCGCCCCCGCAACTGCAGCACTGCTCACAGCGATCGTGGATACATAAAAATCAAAAATGGCCGAACAATTATAAAGAATTCCACCGAATTTATGTTTTTTTAAAATTATTTTGTTAATAAAATTCGATATTTCGACTATCGATACATGCCAGAAGTCATGTATAATGTATCAAGAAAAGGTAGCGTATTTTTTTTAGATTATTACCTTATCTCTCTCTCTCTGAAGTAAATTGTCACCTCAAATCTCCTAGTAAGCGGACAAATTTATTTCTTTATAGATTTTGTGGGGGCCATATACGTTTTAGATGTTTTATATTTTTAATTCATTTTTAAGTTGCAACACGGTGCGCCCAGCCTAAAAAAAGACAATAAGTTCTCATTCCTCAAAAGGAACTTGTCTCAAAGCTGTCATGGTAATACAGTTTTAATCGGTAAATCAACATGTTAATAAGTCTCAATCGGTAATAACATTATCAATTATCACGTATTAGTATCCTTGTTTAGTTCGGCTTTCATTTTTGATACGTATGATACGTGTTGGCATGGTCCCGAATACAAAAGAGATTTGTTGATTATGTACATTATTAAACCGGATCCATCACTTCATCCCAATTCAAATTCTTTTCCGATTTTATTCTTGATCTGGAAGTTTGAGGGTAAACACTAGATAAATAAAGAAGCCTTTCATCAACGTGGCAAGGGACTGACCAATAATAATTTTGAAGTACTTGAAATTTTGGGACATATCATCCTGCTCCTGGACATCTTTGTCTTGGGGTTCTTCAGCGTTACTTGCCCTCCTTGCCCTTCTCCTTGCTCTTGTTCTCCTTATCCTTTTTCTCCTTCTCTTTCTTCTCCTTTTCCGCCTTCTCTTTGTCGGCCTTCTCCTTCTCCTTCTGCTTTTTCTCACGCTCCTTGGCCTCCTTCTCCTTCTCCTTGGGGGACTTGGCGGCCTCCTCGGCCGCCTTTTGGGCCTCCTTCTTCAGTTGATCCCAGTATAACCCGATTCCCGCCCCGATCAGGAAGAAAAAGAATCGGTTGCAGGGCACGCAGTTCAACTTCTGCCACAAAGTTGGGGGCGGACGACACGGAGGCGGCGGCGGAGGACAGCACCGAGGGGGCGGGGGACAGGCAGGCTTGTCGCACATCTTCAACGGATTTTGGTTAGATGCCCTGGTAACCGGAGTGTTCTTCTATAAACGTTTTAATTTTACTCCAAAAAAAAACAGAAAAATGATGTGAGCCGAATCGAGAATTTAGAGCAGTGAGGACCGTGCTGCTTTTACATGTGAGTTGAGTGATTGACGTTAATTTCATACACTACTTTCTAAAAACACGTTTGAAGCTTTGTACAAAGCAAATAATTTCACCCATTCTAAAAATTACCATTTTACATTGTTGATGGGCCGGTAAACGAAGAATAACTTTTTTGGATACTTGAAACTTTTCGCATGTTTAATTTATAATTTAATTGAATAGTGGTGTACAAAAAAAAAGATCTTTAGAATTTTAGAATATTTATTTATTTTAAAAATAAAGATCATGCGATTGCTGTATGTATTTAGGGTCTTTGGCACTAAAAAATAGATTTTTTCTATAAAAACTGGTTGGATGGATTTAATTACAAAAGTATATTATTAAGTGTAATTTAAGTAACATCCACTAATTCTTATAGCCGATACTATCGCCTAATATATCGGCGGCAAAGCGATTGCTGGAACACTATTAAAAAAAGGCGTTTTGCGGTGTTCACTGTACCTCCCCTAAAAATAATCGGAATTCCATTAGATTAATTAAAAAAAAACGCTTCCCAGGGGGCGGATTTTTTTTATGCAGAAAAATATGCGACAAATTTTAAAACGATCGGTTGAGCCGTCTAGAAATGTCGATGAGCACAGACTTTCGAAACGTGGTTTCGAGAAAAACGCACTTAAAGATGCACTAGATTTAGCATTACTTCTAAAGTTTTTGTCCGATTGACTTAAAACTTTTTTTGTATGATCTTAAGATGTTAATCTACAAGAAAGAAAATTAAAAAAAAAATCGATATTTTTTTTTGCAGGATATTTTTTTTTGCTTGGTAAAATTTACCAACAAAGATAGTTACGTAACTATTAAAATAGTTACGTGTATTTTGTTTTTGCTTTGGGTTTGTGTCTTTGCTAATTGTGTGTATTTTGTTGTTGTGGAAAGACTGTGCATGTACCATTTTTTATTTTGTGTCACTTTAAAGATGTGCACAACAAAAAGTCTTCACTTGATTTAACAGTTTATAATTACTAAAATTATTTTGGTTGAATATGAATAAAATGGTAAAAGAATTAAAGCTCTAGGTTTTAATGGCTCCTCACAACAATTTTTTGAAAAACCCATTAAAAAACGGCCCACAAATGGGTGGACCCTTTTATAATACAAAAGCGTATTAAATAATACAATTTAATAGGTAATAGTTTTCACCGAAAAGTAGCAATCATCTCCTCCTAACTTCCTTGCTTATAATGTCATTTTAAAATTGTTGTATCTAAAACGATCAAAGCACTTTTCCTGTCCATAGGCTTAACGAATATTTCCGTTACTCCTGGGTCAAGAAATATGGATAACTCTTGGTTTCTTACCTTTATTGTAGGCTGTATTGTGGGTTATTTGATAGGCAAGAACCATTGAAAAAGGTAAGAACTCCAATTAAATATTTTAGTAGGCATTTGCAAACCTTTCACCGTATTTTTTTTGGCTCACAACTCCTACAGCTTTACAAGTTTCACATTAAAAATGGATGTAGATTGGGTGATCACATTTCTAGTTGGCTGTTTGGTAGGATACATGGTGGCCAGGAATACCTAGGAAGGCTATTAAATGAAGTGCTCAAGGAGGTTAACTTTATATATGAACCAACCACAGTACACTTGGGAGTCTATGTACTATTCCTGCCCGTATGAACTTTGAAATCTTGACTGGATTTAGACTAGGAAAAACACACCGATTTTGGTATCAAGTATAGAAAATTCACCGAATTCAAATCACTATATCAAAATGACGCACGTTATCTCATTTGCCTTGGGCGTGATTATTGGAATGATGAGCTGCCGGAAGTGCTAGCCCCCTTATCAACTGAACTGGAATTAATCTAAATTTATCAAGAAAAATGCCTGAACAAATTTGAACAATAAATAAAATCGATTCTGTTATTCTAATCAGCAGTAAACTAATGTATTTTTTAATTTGTACACCCAACAGAAACCAATGAATTTGAAGATAATTTAAAATACAATTAGTTGGCTTTTCTAGGAAAGTCGGTTTTGAGTTTGTTCGTTTTAAATTAAATTCACATATACCTTGGTCTAACATTTGGCTGAAAATTATCTATTAAGCGGATATGGAGTGGCTTTTAGTCTTTATCATAGGCTGTCTTGTGGGTTTCCTAATATCAAAGAATACATAGGTGCGGTTTTAATAAAAAACAAGAAACGAAGCTAACTTCGGCCAGCCGTAGCTTATATACCCTTGCAGGTCATTCCTATTAGCTTACAAAAAAATTAAATTTAGATTTACTTGCGTATATGCTACAACAATCTAAATTTTAGCTGCTTTCGTATTATTTTGGCGTTAATATTTTGATCCTTCCTATTGCAGCTATATAGCTATATATAGCCGCCCGAATTTTGTTAAATTTAATTCAAAATTTTAAAATGTTAAACGAATGCTATATTCCAGAGAAGAAAATGTAATAAAAATAAATAACCAAATAAGTTTTTTCCTATTAATTTCCATTTAATTTTCCGATCGTTCCAATGGCAGCTATATGATACAGTGATACAATTTCTAAAAATGTAATTCGAAATTCGGAAACAATTAAAAACTAATATTCCCAAGAATAGAAGCTAATATTCCAAAAAACACCTAAGCTAGAATTTTTTACGTTTTTTTCCGATTATCCTATGGGAGCTATAAGATATAATTATCCGATCCGGCCTGTTCCGACTTATATACTCCCTGCAATAGAAAGAAGACTTTTGGGTAAGTTTCATCCAAAAAGTTTGGAAACTGAGAGACTAGTTTGCGTTGAACGGACAGTCGGATGGACAGAGGACAGACAGACAGACGGACATGGTTAGATCGACTCGTCTAGTGATGCTGATCAAGATTATATATACTTTATGGGGTCGGAAACGTTTCCTTCACTGCGTTGCAAGCTTCTGACTGAAATTATTATACCACCTGCAAGGGTATAAAAATATGTAAAGTGTTTTGAAAATATATAAAAGTAGTAGGCATTGATTTGCTTTTCTAAACATTTACCCCAACCTCAAATACAAATTTCTCATTCGGCAGTCTACTCGTAGTGTGTACACTTACGTGCACAAAAAGCAAAATTTCCATTTAAAACCAAAGAGATCGGAGTTTTAATAGAAAATATGCAGCGATTTATTACTTTCATTGTTGGAGGAATTGTGGGTTTTCTCATTGCCAAGAACACCCGCGTAAGTTGACCTAAATTTGTCCTTTTTATTAGTTCTATTAAAAATTCCTTCTGCAGTAAGAAATATGGCCTATGTTATCTGCTTCGGAATGGGCATGGTTTTCGGAATGTTCGTATGCCGACGTTGCGAGCCCTGATTAAAAAGACTTTACCGACTGAAAGACCTGCCCAAATTCAAGATCTCATTCTTGTCTAAAATGAATTTAGAATAAACAACTCTTAACAAAATTCATTCTGTGTTATTTCTCAAATCTAATTTACGTAATCTTTCTTTTTTGCAGGTAATTTATCGCACATTTGTCAGTATAAATTGAATTGTAAATTGTAAGTAAACGCCAACAAAAAATAATACATTTTGTTTAAAAGCTAACGAATTTAAATTTGAAATCATCAGACATAAACGGTAAATATTTATAATATCAAATAAATGTGGTTTTTTTTTTTAAATTGACTAGCTCTTATAGAGTTGTATTAGAAATATTTTTTCGTAGAAAAATACTTTTAACAGTTTTCACGATGACTTTTCGCCAGGGATTAAAGTCAAGTTTAATGCATTTATGACTTTGGCGAAACTTTTGCCGCCATTTCTTTAATGGTTGGAAAAACAAAGGCAGCCGCAATAAATACATACGTCAGGACCTGAGTTGGGTAAAGGTTGGCAAACTTAAGGAACTACGAAAACTTTTCACTTCCCCTATCTATTGGGGCCTCGAAGGTGTGGGAGTTAAGTCAAACTTTAAGGGCAACCAATTTGCCGTTTCATGTGTTAAAGTTTCGGTACCCTTTTGACCGCCTCCACCTGGCCATTCATTATGATTGATTATTGCGGAAATCCAGGGATATATGTATGCACGTCCTTATATGTGTTCGACGTCGTCAGCCGCACAAAACGTTTAACAAATGAGAAGACAGACGACCTCCTGACACACAAATGAACTCGTTCGCCATTTCAATCAGTCTTTGGGCCCCCAGATCGAGCCGCAGCATCCGCATAAATAAATATTTTATGAACTCGGCACCAGCTCTCCGGATCCATTTCCAGTTGGGTTAGGCTCGAGTGCGTCGCTCTGCATAACTTAGGGTCGGAGTGTTTGTGGCAAGTCTTATCTGCGGAGCAAACAAAGGTTGAGCCCCCACAGCCCACGTTTCCCCCTGTTTTCATCTGCGGTTAGGTAATTGGTTAAGGTGGCGCTCACAAGATTGACTCGCCTACCAAATGAAACGGTTTCCTTCCAGAATGATTGATGCCCCTGCCAGGATGTGGGTTCAGGCACGGGCTCGAACTCCCCCCGCCGCCCAAAGGTTAAATTGCTTGGCCGTGCGGTTCGGGGACTTGGATTTATAAGCCAGCCCAACAGGTGGGGGCAGGCTTACCACTCACCTGGCCTTAAGGTCGGAGACACCCTTCTCCACTTTGGCTGATTGCTTGGCCCCTCTATTTGATGCCCTTTCCCAAGGAGTTTTTCCAGCATTCTTCATGCTAATTTGTCAATAAAAAGTTTTAATTGAATTTTTGGTTCACATGTTGGCAGTTAATTTATGCAGTTTCCTGGCTAACAGCGAAAATTAGAAATTCGATTGAACACTGCAAAAGCTGCTGTTAATAGAGAGCTTTCGTTTAACATTCTGCCCCTCGAACGCTTTTCCTGTTCTCCCCAAGCTTTTCCTTTCTCTTTCCTCGGATTAAAGGTGCGTCTCTTTTGGGTAAACGTAAACAATAACGGCTGCCGGCATCTCAGCTGTTTGGCGCCCCCAAAAACCCACCACTGTGGTGAGATCCCGCATTTCCGTTTCGCTTTCCGAGCCTGCGCCACTTCCTTTCGCCGAGCGAGGTCCTCGGCAGGACTTCAGTCCTTATCCCAGTGCCGAGGCGAGCGTATCTAAGACAAACGCCTCACGCTTCAACCGCGAGATACTTTCGAAACCTACCGCTCGAAAATGCATTTCAAATCGAATTTCAAACTTAGGAATCCAATGTGAAGAATTATTGTGAAGTTGTTCGCTACAAAACACATGTGAATTAGAAAGTAAAACTGCAAGTGGATCTAAAATCGCAGTGTCATTTTTCACATTCTTTGAATAGGGTACTTTTTTTAATATAATTTAAAAAAAGTTTGAAAAGAAAACCAAACCAAAATACTCTTAAAAAAATTAAGTGATTGAATGAAATTAAATTAGTGATATCATTTAATACCATAAATAAGTGATGGCCAACTTATAATATCTAAAATTACAATTCATAATATAAGCAATAATATAAGTGAGCATTAATAAAAATTAAAACATAAAATAAATCAAATTTTAAAAACAATAAGGTAAACAACGTTAAAAAGTAAAAAAATATACAAAAAAATCAAACAAAAAGCTGTTAAATTTTAAATCCGTTAAGTGCAAATTGTTGATATTGTTACTAAAATAGATCAAATAATTAAAAAAACATACCAGCTATAATTAAAAATTACATAAAAACAAAACAAATTGAAGACAAACAATAAAAATGTATCAAACAAAATAAAAACACTAGCTCAAATAAATTCAAAATTCCATAAAGTCAAAGCAAATTACGCAGCTTTAAGCCAGACACTTCTGTAATTAGCCAAGTTAATGCTCCACCTAATCAGGCGCTGGCTGATGGGGATTATGGATTATGGTCCTGCTCCTGGCAGTCTGCTATTTGGGTGTCACTGAAAATTTGCGGCAATTCAGCCAGCAGTCTCTCCAACAAATCGACTTGGCAAGAGAAAGTTTTTGACAAATTTTCCACAAGTCGAAATCATTTATGATAACTTGACACGCGCCACATGTTGTGAGCTTGACTTAGTCAAATGGGGAAGATTAATTGGATTCGATATTAGTAATCAAGGCGTGAGGCTGTGGCTGCCACATCAGTCAATGGGCCAAGAAGCCCGAGAAGAGGATTTTAATTAGCGACTTCGTAGTGTTGACTGGTCCCCTGCAGCAGGGCCGTGTAATTGAGTTATTCGCATGGATTTCTGCCATTTTAGCCATTTTATTATTATTAAATGGCTGCTGCGACAACAGGCTGTTAATGGCAGTCCATAAAATGGCGTTTCTGTCTGTCCCTTTCCCTGCGAGTGTGAGTGTGAGTGGATGTGTATCTGTGAGTGGGTGGATGTAAGCCTAAGCGGCGTCATGATTGTTTTAATGGCCACTTGAACGGAAATTAACTGACAGCTGCAGATAAACGAAACACCCACCCAACGCGAACCGCACAATCTTAAAGCTCCATCGATTCCAAAACAATTGCAGTCGGGCATGAAAAATGCGTAGCGACTTTCCGCCTCGCACTTTTCCAAATATTTGCACATTCAAATGTCAAATAAGCTAATTTGGCCCATAATTCCCATTTCGTACGCTCGCTCTTCGCGTTCTGTGAATTTCCATGTATGATAAACAGCAATGGCAGCCAATTTGTTTCCGAACAGCAAGAACAACAAAAAACGCAAATGCAAATTGCTTTTCGGCACGAAGAATATGAAAATTATGAAATATGTGCGACATTTCTATTTGCATACATTTGGCCAAGAAATTGGGGGAAGGTCGGGAGGAATGGCGAAGGAAAACACAGGCAGCGGGGGGAGGCGAAGCTGGTAAACAAAAGTCACTTTAGGCCAAAGGTAAAGGTCGCTTTCCATAATAAAAGGCGACTAATTGAAAACGTATTTCAATCTTAATAAATGATTCAATTAGCTTCCCAAAAAAAAAACTTAATATGAAACGATAATCGATTTGATGTTATTTGGTGGTATCAATTTTGACAATTCGATAAGCTCGAAATTTAAGCAGAACAGGCTAGATTATGTTCTTCTCGCTCACACTCACGTAATTTAAATCGCCACATTGCTTCTACCTTTCTCTCGGAGAGAGTTGTTTTGGTAAAAACGATATGCAATAACAGAAATTAAACATGATCATATCGATTTGATTGCGTAGTGTTTTTTTTTTTTGTGCGTAATTCAAATTTTTTACTTGTAATTAATACCAAGTGACATAATAAATGTAAAAACAAAATTAAAGTTTATATGTAGCTTAACATTAAAATAACATACTATTTTTCTTCCTAACTTCTGTCTGACTGATGGCCAAATTAGTCTCCTTCACTGATTCACTCCCTTACTCACTCACTTATGACTTCATTTTCGCAGCAGTTCATCTGGACTCACTTAAGCCGCAGGACTTCACCTTCGGCCAACGTTTCTTTTAATGCGCTTTTCTTTTCCCTTTTGACCTGGCCATCAACACACTCACACCCACAAGCACACGCAGAGACCACAAAAGACGGATCAAGTGAAATGTTAGATGGAGGAGGGAAAAAACAACATGGTAAACGCTTTGTAATACGCTTTTGTTTGGCCCAAGAGCCATTAAGCTGGCCAAGTGATAAATTCGTTCTGCCTACTCAAGTTTTTTGCGCTGCTGCTGATGCACAGAAAGAAACAACGTTGGCATTTGGGTTCAATGTCCCCACCTAACTTTTAATTTACTAAAATGGAAATGAAACTAAAAAATGTATTCATTTTTAAACGTCTTGGTATAAAATATTCCTTTTAATTTATACATCTACTTCTTATTATGCAGTAATATGTAAAACATTAGATTTTGGATTCTTTACTCGTACAAATAGCTTTCCATATATTTGCTTGAGCTAAAGAAATATATTTAGCATTAAACAATCTGTAACTTCGATATTACAAAGACAGAGTGTGTGGTGTGCCTCGTCACTACGTGAACTGTCGTCCACAGTGATATTACGAAGATAAAAGGCCAAATTAAGCTAAATTTCGCCAAATCGAAAAATATGTAAGGGATCGGATAGGGCAGTTCATGACATAAAATTTATACTTATTGCAATTATATGTCAGTAAAGTTTTGCCTTTATGAAAATGTTCGAGCGAAGGTTTCTCTCTGTGTAGTGCTGCTGGTCTGGTCTGCTCGAGAAAAGGTCGCGTGCGGTTTTTGCCAAGTTTAGAGCATTGATTTATGAACGGGCTGCTGGTGCGGACATTAGCCTTTCTTCTTGGCCAGGAATGTCCTGCGGCCGTGGGGTTGTTTGCTTGTTGCATGTAATGACGTCATTAGGAACAAATTGCCCCCATTTAGCGGCAATCGATTGCTTCCGCACGATTAAATATGCTAAGCCAAAAGGGGGAAGAAGCAACAGTTTGTCTACACGTCTTCACAGCTCCACTTCCTCCTCTCACCCCGTG